TACCTGATAAACCCCTTCCCCCTTTACTTTATTTTTATCTTTGATGAGCCTCCCCCCCCCCCCTTCTGGGTTAAGCAGTTAGTTAGGAGCTGGTTGTAGGAGTCCGGTCGTGCCATAGGTGAAACAAGGTATCGGTAGGTACACGTGGGAGGGAAGATGCTCCGTAGGGTACCAGTTATTATTGAAGTATTTCAAATAGAGTTGACTGGGACTGACTAAGGAACTAGGAGGTGGGAACACTACAGGATTGTTGTCAACTGTTAGGTATGTATGATCTAGATATTGTACATAGCTGCTTTAATGTTGTCGCTATTTTATTGTTGTATATTGTTGCACGTATATTACTGTATATTGTTATATTGGTTGTATCCTATTGGTTTAATAACCCAAATTTGAGGTGAGTAAAGCGATAAAGTTTGTCAACGCATAGGAGTGACAGCTCGTCTCGTAATTCGTGTGACCAGCTGGTACCGAGGCCCCCACAGTTGTGGACGTCGCCTTGTCGTCATTTTTCATCGTCAAAGTATCGTCTCACTGGAGGCCCCCGGAAGTCCGGCAGTCGCCTCCAGCTAGCTGCGCCAGTAGCACTTAAATTTACTGTTTTAAGAATAACTATCATTTTTTTTGTTACCTCAATTGTATTCAAAATGACAAGTATGCACACGCGTATTTGTGGTTTGCAATTATTTTTTTTTCTTTTCCTCATGTGACATAAGTAGCTCTGTGAACTTAAGCTATGTTTGCTGTAATAAATGTATGTAGGATCGTGAGTGATTCAGTAGTAGAAAGTGCTGGCATTTGGACCCAGAAAATACTGGTTGGTTTTATTTCCCCCTCTTTTCCCCTCTTTTCTCTTTTTTCCTCCCCTTCTTTTTTTTTTCAAAAAAATCACAAAAAATTTTTCAAATTCTTTTTCATTTTTCTTTTGCTCAGTATTTTGCACTAATAACTTATATAATCCGAAACAAGCAATAATATAATACGAAAAAAAAAACCAAAAATAAAATTTTTGATCAACAAATGCTGCTTAACCCGAAAAGACTA